CCTCCATGATACCCCCTCCTGTGTCGGCTTTCTCCCATATCTCAGACCCATCTCCACCCCCTTTACCGATGCTCCTATCGACTCATCTCCACCAGCAACACGTCCTTTACAAGTGTATCAACGACGCCCTCGCCCTCCACCCAATGAGTCCTCTGAGGTCACGCCTATTGATTCCCCTACTCCGGATCCCGCGCCAGCACAGTCAGCTACCCAAGTGCCAGAGAACAATCATGATGATTTGCCCATAGCCCTCCGCAAAGGTACACACTCAACTTTGAATCCTCGTCCTATTTATAACTTTTTAAGTTATCATCACCTCTTCACCCCTTACTTTGCCTTCACTTCACATTTATCTGATGTTTGTATTCCTAAAACCACACATGAGGCATTATCACACCCAGAGTGGCGTCGAGCTATGTTAGCTGAAATGGAGGCCTTACATTCTAGTGGGACATGGGACTTAGTTCCCCTTCATATTGGGAAATCCGTTGTTGGGTGCCACTGGATATACACAGTCAAAGTAGGACCAGATGGAAACATTGATCGTCTTAAAAGCACGTCTGGTTGCAAATGGGTATACACAAATCTACGGATTAGACTACACTGACACGTTTTCTCCTGTTGCAAAAATTGCATCGCTTCGTCTGATTTTATCCATGGCAGCAATGAGCCACCATTATTTCAATTGGATATTAAAAATGCATTTCTCCATAGTGATTTACATGAGGAGGTTTATATGGAGCAACCACCTGGTGTTGTTGCTCAGGGGGAGTCTGGTTTGGTTTGCAGATTACGTCGTTCTTTATATGGCTTGAAAGTTGAAACAATCCCCGCGTGCATGGTTTGGGAGATTTAGTGTTGTTGTTCGTGGTTTTGGCATGACTCAGAGTGATGTAGATCATTCCATATTCTATAGACATTCTGCCGGCAATAAATGTATATTTCTTGTTGTATATGTCGATGACATTATCATTACAGGTAATTATGACCAAGGAATTGCCCAACTCAAGGAATATCTTTTTAGCAAATTTCAAACAAAAGACTTGGGAAAACTAAAGTACTTTCTTGGTATTGAGGTTGCCCAATCAAGAAATGGAATTGTGCTCTCACAGAGGAAATATGCATTGGATATTCTTGAAGAAGCAGGTATGTTGGATTGTAGGCTAGTGAATACACCAATGGACCCAAACGTCAAACTCGTGTCAGAACAAGGTGACCTCCTGCCCAACAAAGGGAGATATAGAAGGCTTATTGAAAAGTTGAACTATCTTACCATCACAAGACCAGATATTTCATTTGAAGTCAGTGTGCTTAGTCAATTTCTTGATAAGCCATGTGATGGACATTGGGACGCAGCTATCCGAGTCTTGAGATACATCAAGAAAACTCCAGGACAAAGATTACTCTTTGAAGATCGAGGGCACCATGACATTGTTGGATATTGTGATGCGGATTGGGCTGGATGTCCAATGGATAGACGTTCTACTTCTGGATATTGCATTTTGATTGGTGGAAATTTGATTTCTTGGAAAAGTAAGAAACAGGATGTGGTTGTCGGGTCTAGTGCTGAAGCAGAATACCGTACAATGGCTCTTGCTTCATGTGAGATATTATGGTTGAGGCATCTCCTCCAAGAATTAAAATACGGAAACATGAAACTCGTCAAGCTAATGTATGATAATCAAGTTGCAATGCACATGCTTCCAATCCAGTGTATATGAGAGGACTAAACACATTGAAGTTGATTGTCACTTTATTTGAGAAAAAATCACAAATGGACATATTACTACTCATTATGTCAAAACAACAAATCAACTTGCATATGTTTTAACCAAGTCTCTTAGAGGACCTAGGATGCAATATATTTGTAACAAACTTGGTGCATATAATTTATATGCTCCAGTTTGAGGGGGAGTGTTGAAACCCTAGTTGTATTGGGCTTAGCCCGTCTTGTATAGTAACCCTAGTGCTCTAGCTTTTGCTATAAATATAGCTACTTGTATAGTTCTTAACATCAAGATTCATTATAATGAAATACAGTTTATATAGTTCACAGTAAGGTTATCTGATTTGCGCGCTTCGGACTCTTTTAGATTATCTTGTGAATCAACGCTTTCTGCCGCTTGCCGAATATCATCCTACGTCTCCAATTCTTGAACTGAAGATGTAGACATTGTAGGGCTTCAACTCAGTGTTCCGTGTAGACGGTGGAGTTCCAAGCAATGAAAGTTGCACCCGGTGAGAGACGATTAGCGAAGATGAGTTGTGAGAGTCCGCGAATGAGGAAGTCTGCGATCTTGGAGCAATGAGAGAAAGAGTTCGCGAATGCGAACTGGGAGATGGGGTTCGCGACTGCGAACTGTGATATGAACTTGGAGCAGTTTGCTGGACTGACGACTGCAAACGGGAATCTTCTACTTGCGACGTCGTCTGCCCACTAGGAGCTACTGTTCACGGCGAATCTAGCGAACCAGGAAAAACCTCTCGTGATGACGATCTTTGAGGAACAAGTTGCGGCGGAGAACTGGAAGTGTGAGGAGCGAATGGTGAAGACATCTTTGACCCTGTAGTAACCACTCGCGATCTCCCTCTCCCTTGAAATTGTTCGTTCATCGCAGTTAGCTGTCTGGCTATGTTTTCCGCCATCTTTCTCATTTCTGTTAAGTTCTTCTTCATCGATATCTGCTTCCTTTCCGGCGAATCCACCCTATTCTCCAGTGAATCCAACCTCTTCTCCCTTCTTGCTCGGATACCAATGATAGAACACTGGTATTTGATTCACAGAACAGTATAGAATTCAATAGAAAAAGTAGGAGAACAGATCAAAAGCTTTATTCAATAGGTAGAACAGATCACAAGGGATACAATGCTCTAAGACTATTTGAGATGCTCAATCTCCAAGTACAGCCTCAACAGTAATAAACGCCTACTTCTTCTAGTTCATAAGCTTCTATTTATAGTAAAATTGTCCATGCAGGGAACAACAGAACTAACAGAGTAGTTATTTATTACTAACTGCCTTTCTACTCCTCTTATGGTAGACTTTATTATAAAATTGAACTGGTTGTCGTATTGAGTTCCTATCATTGTATAAATAAAGGCTTTGGGCCATGTAATTCAGTAACTTTGGACAGGCCCGTAAGAATACAGATTACTATAAGAGTAGGAAGGGAGGAAGAAGGGAGATGGGCAGAATTTTGGGATCGGACTGGGATTTGGGACGTGACTACGTGAGACTACTCGAAGTGTCTCAACTGTTCTTCTATTCCTTTTCTCTTTGTACGCTGGTTTACTACTTCCTCCATTGTCGTTTGCTTAAGGAATTTCTAAGCTATTCTCTGAATTCCATACTTAATATATGTAACTCTCCTGTTGCGTATATGGACTTTGGTGTTATCTATCACCAATTGAGCGTTGCAGTTAGGGATTTAGATCTCTATTTCATAACAACTGTGATCGGCTTTAATATTAATTAAAACAATTATCTTTTTTTCTAATAAATTCTGTAATTCAAAATTTCAAGTTAGGGATTAGTTATTTCAAACACGCAGTATTAATTTAAGCATTGTGTACTTCTCAACAAAATTTGAAATTCTCTATTCCCAATTTTTGTTTATAACTTTGATTCACAAACTTCACATTTAGGTTTTATATTTCAATTTTGTGTTATTGTGTATCAAAAGTCTGGCTACCTAAATTGAATAAATAGTCCAAACAAGGACGGAATCTAGGAATGAGAGGTGAGGTGGGCTATGGAGTAAAAAAATTGTTACTACACACAAGGTTTAGCTTACAACTGTTATCGAACTGAGTTTTTTTTCGAACTATTCGAGTTCGAGGTTAGCTCCGAACACGAAAACGAGCTTTATTTTGAGTTGGAATAATTATTCTTGCAAGTTTGAGCATAGTGATGTTCAGACCATTAACACGTTAAACTTTTTGTATATAAAATTATTCTCTAATCTTCAATTGTATATGAAATTATGATGTATTAAAAATTACAAGGACTAAAATTATGAAGTACACATTAAATTAATCTTTAGGACCTTCGCTGAATTGATAATATCATTAATCATTATAATTAATAAATACCATTGTATAAAACTAATAAATCATAATGTAATAACTAATACTACCTCGGTCCCACTAAGATTGGGACAAGAGAAGGTTGCACGATTATTAAGAAAAGTGTGTTTGTGTGGTTGATATTAAATTGTTAAAGTAAGAATAAAGTAAAAATGATTTAGAGCCACACAAACTTTACCAAATTTGGTATGAAACAATCTTAGTGGGATTTCCTGAAAAGGTAAAATGGGGCAATCTTAGCGGGACGGAGGGAGTAAGTAATAATTGTGCATTAAACATTTCAATCTAATTCCCAATTTGAAAATTGAATTTAAATATTTAATCCTTTCTTTCATGCGGTCATGCCCAAACACTAAATAGATTATTCTCTAATCTTCAGTTGTATATGAAAGATGTATTAAAAAATTAAAAGGACTACAATTATGAATTACATTTTAAATTAATCTTTAAGAATTAAGACCTTTACTAAATTGATAATACAACTAATCCTTATACGTTATAATGAATACTCATCATAACAAATTAAAAATTTCAAATAAAGAATGACGAAATCAACTTCTTTCCTTTCTTGGCAATATGTTAATTATCCATTCTTAGCAATTGTTGTACATTAAAGTGATTAAACATTTCAATCTAATTCCCGATTTTAAAATTGAATTTAAATTTTTTAATTCTTTCTTACATGCCCAAACAATAAATAAATTATTCTCTAATCTTAAATTGTATATGAAATTGTGTTGTACTACAATTAAAAGGACTACAATTATGAATTAGATTTTAAACTAATAGAATGAACACACGTATTAAATTGATAATATCTGTAATTATTATAATGAATAAACACAATTTTATTATCTACTAATCAAGTAGAATTAAAAAAAAAGAGTAATAGACAAAGACTCAAAGAGTAATACCTGGACGATTGGGAGGGTGAAGAGTGAGAGAGAGGCAGAGAGCTAGATGGCTTCGCAAGAGTGCTGCTGTGCAGGACCCTGAACGGCGGGAGGCAGCACAGGTCGGCTGGGCAGCTGGACGCTCGACGAAGAAGGCTGGCTGAACGGGAGTGTGGAGGGCTTCGTGCCTTAAATGCCTTCTTCGTGGCTTCGTCGCTTCTCGCTTCTCGCTTCGTGGCCTGGCGGAGGTGGTGGAACAACTGGAACGTATGTTAGATGGGTTGGGATGGGCTGGACTCTACACTAATTTAATTTAATTTAATTTAATTTATGGAATTTATCAATTGAGGATCCGAAAGATGAAATCTATCGATATATGACCCGAATAATGAAAAACTATCAATCTATGACCTAAAATTTCATAGGTTTTGATTTATTTAATTTTTTATTACTTCCATTGCTAATTTTTGATAAACTTGTCTTCACAAAAGTTTATTAGTTTCATAAAACTAAATAATATTTAAAGAATTTAAGATAAAAAAATAATAATAAAATTTCGGACAACTTAGGTCCTAAATTAATAATTTCCAATCATTCAAGTCTTAAATTGACAGTTTTCCATCATCCTGGTCCTATATCGATACATTTCATCTTTCAGATCCCGGATTGATAATTCATCTATCTTTCGGGTCCTGAATTGATAAAATTCCTATATTTATTTATACTGCTATGTATAAATCTTTATATTTACACACTGTATTAAATCTTTACACATGAAATGAATGATAGACGGACTATCAATTTGGGACCTGAAAAATGAAATGTATCGATATAGGACCCGAATGATGGAAAACTATCAATCTAGGACGGGATGATGAAAAATTATCAATTTAGGACCTAAGTTTTCAAAAAATTTATTATTATTTTTATTTTTAAAAAATTAAATAATATTTAGTTTTACTAAACTAATAAACTTTTGTGAAGAAAATTTCACCAAATATTAGCAATGGAATTAATAAAAAATTAAGTAAATCAAAACCAATGAAATTTTAGATCCTAGATCGATAGTTTTTCATCTTTCGAGTCTCATACTGATACATTTCATCTTTAGGGTCCTGGATTGATAATTCATCTATCTTTCGGATCCCAAATTGATAAAATTCCTTTAGGAAAATAATCACCATTCCCCACATTTTTGTTATCGTCAACTGGTCTTCTTTCATATCATAAGTTTCAGGATCATTACATCAATCAAAGGAAAAACAAAACGGACACCAACTAAAATCTAACAACTATGACCGTAAAACCTATGACCAGACTTAGAGACACTCACCCCTGAAAGAGCAACGCGAATCGCTAATCATGTAGCGGGATTGACACAGCCATCTTTGTTTCCATAGATTCAAACATACTCAATGACATAGTCTCCGATATAAGGGCTTATTTGACCTTTTTTTGGTTAGTACGTGGGCAAATAGGCCCACGTACTAACCAAAAAATGTGAAATAAGCCCTTATATAGGAGGAGGCTATGTCCGGCCGTCGTCATTTGGGGCGGTTGCCGATGGAAATTTTTTATGCAATTTATTGAGCATATTATTTATTAAGTCTAGTTTACTCATACCAAATTTCAGCTAAAATTTCAATTGGGAAGGCATTCAAATGAATTCTTGAAGATAACTGTGCAGTTAAAAGCGCAGTTATCTTCAAGGATTTATTTGAATGTCTTCCCAATTGAATTGTTAGCAGAAATTTGGTATGAGTAAACTAGACTTAATGAATAAGATTCTCAAAACATTTCATCAAAAAATTCAACCGGGAACTGCCCCAAATGGAGATGGCCGGACAGAGCCTCATATATAAGGGCTTATTTGACCTTTTTTTGTTAGTACGTGGGCTTATTTGCCCCCTTTTCCAAATAACTAATAGGAAAAGTTCCACAGACTCTAGCACCTCGTACAACCCATAGTGATGGTTCAGGAAGAGGTCGTATCCTTGGTACCACTCTAATTGATCCTCCATTGTAAATCGTCATCTGGCCTGCTCGAAATCCGTGCACCTCTCCTCGTCCCGCGCTCGTAACAAATCCACCGCTAGTGGTCATCTTCATCGCTGACATGCCCTTGCTACCCTGCCTACGAAGAAATCGATCGCCAAACTCTGACTTCAATGTCGTCAAGCTTGGGCAAGGATTCTTGTCAATCTGCCTCAAATCCAATCCCAGCGCCGGACACAAGTGAAGGGGATTCACCGGCCAGGAGAACCAAACCTTAGATCTGTTAAGGAAAAACCAAACCCTAGACCTGTTAGGGAGAGACCGCGGCGCAATCACCATTCCCCACATATAAAATAGATTACATTATTTTGCTAATGTGTAATCTATTTTTAAATTGCATATAAGGGCATTGCAGTGCTATATAAAAAAACATGCAAAGTATTTTATCACCATTCCCCACGTAAAATACGTTACATGGTACATGAAATGTTTTTTAAAAGTGTCCTTTAGTTTATGTTAAATAATCAAACCAAATGGCGTAAACCTTTTACGTTCCTACACTTCACACGCAAAGTGTTTTTTTTTACATCCAATCAAACATGTTTACCAAGAAAATTGCTAGAAAACTAGTGCAAGGAAAAATAGGAAAATATATTTACTAAATCATTTTCGAAAAAACAAAAAAAAATGAGATATGCTTATGTTTTTTAATGAATTAGAGAAGTGAGTTTTACTAGTTTTCTATATTTGAAATATGCGAATATTGCAGTGTTGTTGCAATGAATTTGCGTATTTGTGTCTAGTGGTGGACCCGATCCTCCTGCAGTCTCAGTTCCGATCCGGTCGGATCAACAACCCCGCGGTCCCTGACGGCCGACGACTCGACGGTCCAATCTGCTCAACGACCCGACGCTCCTTGTCCGGTCTGGCCGATGACCCGATAGTCCCTGTCCCGTCCAATTGACGACCCGGCGATCCCCGTCATGTCCGAACGATGACCTGGCGATCCCTTTATGGTCCGGACAATGACTCTATGGTCCCTGTCTGGTCCGGTCGATGACCAAGCGGTCCTTGTTCGTTCAGTCAACAACCTGATGATCCCTGTCCGGTCTGGTCGATGACTGGGCTGTCCCGGACCGGTCAACGATCGTCGGTTCCTATCTGGTCCAATCGATGACTCGGTGACTCGATCCCCGTTTTTTTAAAATCATTAATTTAAATCAAAGAATTTCAAAAGAGGCGATGAGTTACCAACCAATAGGAAAACGGGAAAAGCGAAAAGAATCGGTCAAACTATTCATTGGGATCGATCGGGAAAGGCTGATTTCGGTCCCGACTATCCTATACCCGAGACAGGGTACCCTACTTGGATTGTACTAGGTTCGTTGGCGGACATGGATCATACTTTCGATCTTCCGGCCGGTCACAAAATCGGGTGAATTTTTTTGATAAACATGTTTTCAGATTTGAAAATGAAAAACTGAAAAATGAAAATAGAAAATTGCAGATAAGAAACTGGAAATTTAAAACAGAAAATTGAAGAACAAAAACAAAAAAAAATCGAAAATATCTGGTTAGTAAACGGGTTAACGGGCCCTATGTCTTTTTTTTATTGATTTTTGTGGTTTCTCCTACAATGAGTTGCATGGAATATTCAATATTGTGATCAATTTTGAGTGGGAACACCACCATTTTTCTCTTTTACTTCGTAAGATTTTCTTTTGGTTTATTCCCAAAGTTAATCAATATGATTGCCTGCTCTTAATTCGGTTCCATTCCATTCATTCATGATTAATAATAGACGGAATCGAAGCTACTTACAAATATCTACAGAGTTATCTTGGTTCCAAAGGAAGATCATATCTGACTTCTATACTTGTAAAATACACAGGGACCAGACCAACAAATTTTAATCGAAGTAAAAACATCCTAAGAACAAAAATAAGATGCCTTTCATCATTCATAATAATTGAATGAATTTGCATCTTTACGGAAAGTACATTTTAAACAATAATTAACCGCTAAATACACCCATGAGTAACCATATTGTTAATTTAACTAAATGCACTGAGCATCAAAGTGTCATCTTTTTCCTATTCGGATCACACTTTCCAGAACTCAACTGCTCTGCAATCACTTAAGAGGTATCTGTAGGTAAACTTCGTACATGGTTAATATACATCATATCTTTATTTCAATAGTAATCTAAAGAGCATTCACTATCATCTGCAATAGAGGAACTCCTGTAAACAGAGGGTTCATACAAAGACTTGGCAGCACCTGAAGACCTTTCTTGATGGTTGTCATTCTTCAGATGTGTCGGTTCATTGGTATCATGTTGTACTCTTCCTGTGACCTCCAAACACAAGCCATTCTTTGAAACTTTCTTTGGTTCCTCCTTGGGAGTTCTCCTGGGGCCCGGATCAAGGAATATTGGTCGTATCTTGAGATTTGGGTTTGGCTTAACGCGAACAGCTTCCTTCTCCTTTTCCTCAGATGGCCGGGTTAGAATCCCATTATGCAATTCATGAGAGACTTCATCTTGATTCAACAGCACCTGAAAATGCGAGTTGGAAGAATGTCAGTTGGAAGCTGGAGAGATAAAAGGGTAAGATAAAGATGACTAGTGATTGCTACCTTGCGACCAACAAGGTCAAAGGTCACTACAACTTTACTCCGTTTGGCACGTTCAGCCTCTTCAATCTCCTCTTTCTTCTTTCTCAAGAGTTCCTTTTCCTATATAGAACATTCAAAGAGCGAGTGAAAAATCAGCAGCACACTCGCTTATGTATATCAGGTAGAAAATGGCACTTTGATTCAGCTGACCGACCCGACCTGAACAAGCCTGAATTGGAACTGAACCATGTGCAATTCTGTTTTTGTTTGTTATGTTTTTCTATACCGTATTGACCTGAACCTAATTTTGGTAGTCATTCCCCAAACTATTTTAAGCCGAAATGTCCACCTGAACATACATCAAAAGTCAAGAGGAGTCCATACCTCCATTGACAACCAGCTATTCCCTTCAATCTCATAATAATCACTTTGGTCATCTATCACCGTTGTACGTGCTGCAGAGTTGCGGTCATAATCTACAAGCCTTTTAGCAAAGGCTCCAGCCGCTGACTCAGCATCTGAGATGGCGAGTACCCCATCAAGACCAGCATATGAGCTGCCTTCTCTGAGAACAAGAGAACCGCAAAAATTGCAAGGCCCCTCGCCTTCCTGCTCACACACTATCTTCCCACACGACAAGCAATTGCTAACAAGCCTGTGCCTACGGGCTTGGCATGAACACGGCTTCCCTTGTTGAAACACAATAGATCCCTTTGCTGCCTCAGCGAGAGAAAGCACTTTGCCAGACTTCTTTTTGGAGTGGTTTTGACCCTGTCTTTGCTTGTTTTTTGAGTCTGAGGTCTCGGATTTGGTTTGAGTTTCCTGTTTAACAGGGGCTTCTTTGTCTTTTTGTATTTTCATAGGCTTTTTAGTTCTGAGGGTTGAACTATCATTGGAAGGTGGTTTTATGTATGTGTGTAAGTGGGACGTAGAAGCATCTTGAATGGTCAGGTTGATGTTTGAATGACCTCTCCTCTTCATGTATTCCTCAATTACACTTTTTCCAAACTCTTGTCCAATGATATTCTATTGATGTCACGAAACCCAAGCAAATCATTAGAGTTTTATTCCATGCCTGATTCTTTTAGCTATTTAGAAAGGGAATTGGATAAGAAGACTACGAGAAGCTCCTAACCACTCACACATAGTAAAGAATAGAACATATAGAACATCAAAATCAACCATTAATTAATAATTCTTTCTCACTAACTTTCTTTGCTATTCTCCCCCTATTCAATCACAGTGTTACTGTTGGAGAAGCTTTAATGACTGAAAGCAATTACAGTTTCATATCAAAGATAACTTGTTACAACTTTGTGTGACATAACTCAAAGCGTAAGGAACTCTTAACCATAACTAAAAGGTTGAAATTCTAGAAGAGCGGGAGAGAGAGAGAGAAGGATTCTCATAAATTGGATCAAATCAGCTGCATCTAGTTAACAACTCGCCAGCTAATAAAATCCACAGAATAAGAAAAACACATCAAAGAAACAGAAATCTAAACACAAAGTTTCAGTTCAGGTCCTTCTGGAAGCATACCATACTAGTTCTCGTACGGAACCACATAAGCAATTTCAACTCATATATTCACTTCAAGAACAAGTTAAAATATCTAAATAATCAGCAAGAATAAGAAAGCACACATTAAGTCATGGTCTAAATAATCAGCAAGCATAAGAATCAAACATTAAATCATGGAGCAGCAGAGCAGTGATAGTCCAAAATTTACTAAATAATAAGGGTTTGTTTGGATGTAGGGTTTTGGAGGGTACAGGGGGGAAGGCTTTGCAGGTCTTTGTATGTATCTTAATGTATATTAGAGGTATACAAAAATTAATTATCAATTTAGCATGTGATCATATGACATTTGATGATTTGATCGCCTTCTATTTGTTTCTTTTATGAAACTATTTATCAAGATATAGACCAAACCTTCCTCTACAAAATCAACCATCCAAATAAGAATGGTAACTAGTTTATTAGCACTTCCTACGTAATAGCATTTAAAAGCATATTTACATGACGCAGCACCATATTTTGATTGATATGGGAGTCAAAAAGTTCCACAGACTTGGACCAAACCATTAAATTATAACTGGTGCAATATGGGGCTAGGGGGTGATCAGTGAAATAAGATAATTGGGGCTAGGGGGTGATCAGTGAAATAAGATAATTGGGGCTAGGGGGTGATCAGTCAATTGATACCATTAAAATCAAACATGATGGAATACAAATTACTATAAATTAAGTAATAATTGCAGGTAGAATGAAGAAATGGAGAAAATTCACATCAAGATACTCTTTGGCATCGAGAGGCGAAGCAAGCTCGCAGTAAGATACAAGACCCGATATGATTTCACTATCCAAATCCAAACCCGTTTCGACTCTATTGCATATTTCCAGCAACTCCTTCTCCAGCCACTCGCCGGGAGAAGTCATTCTCTTTCTTTCTCCCTGTCGCGGCCTCTCAAAGCCCAACTTTTCAAATGTGGAACAATCTCACAGCGGGGTTATCCTCGAAAGTGAAAAGATATCGAGTTGTAAACGTGACTGGATACGGGTGATGCGAACCTTGTGATTAGGTGGCAACTGTTGTGACGGATTAGATGGAAACCCGCAGTCAACGGCCCAGGTCAAACTGGGAAAACTGCGGGTAACGGGCGGGGCGGGAACCCGTTTCATTTTTACGGGTAACGGGGCGTTTACATTTGTATACATGCCCGCTCCATTATCTGCTCCGTTACCGCCCCGTTTATTTTTAATTATACTTTTATTACATTTTTATCTATTATTTGTCCCACAATTACTAAAAAACCATATTTTTCTATTTTCATTGTGTGTGAATGAAAGTTCATACGTAGTAATAGATTTTAATAGTCTTGTTTGATTATTATCATATCTTTTAGTGATTAATTATATATAAGATTAAGTATTTTTAGATTCAAATTAATTTAGATTACCTTCTTTCTTGTCTTGTACATATATGAAACTTCAAAGTGGCGTATGAGTCTAGATTCGTCTAGGCGATGTCATTTTTTGCCTTTTCAAATACCGTTTTTATATTAAAATTTCAATTAATCATTTAATAAAATGATTATCCGTGGTTACCCGCGGTTATACCCGTTATCCGTTGGGGCGGTTATGGTTTGAGAAAAATTACCCGTTGGGTAATGGGGCGGGGGAATTTCCCAATGGGACGGGTACGGTTATACGTAAAACCGTCCCTGATCCGCCGCGTTGTCATCCCTACATGTGATGATGCATTGACGCGAACCCGATTGGGGTCGGTACTTAAAAATGTTAGGTTTTTCTAAAAATAATACTAAAACAAATTTTATGAACAATCACTTTAGAAAACAATAAAAAATGAGAATGAATTACTATGGTGACAATTACCAAACACACCAAAAATCAATCCGACTAGTGACCAATCCAATTAATTATCAATCTGGCTACTGACTAAACCAACCATTACGATTTTGACAATATGTCATATGATAATGTTCCTTAGAGTAGAAAATGTCAGCATAGGTAGTCGGATCCTCATCCCTATCAAATATTGCACAAACAACATGTGCACGGAATGAGGCTCATGTCTCATCTCTCACAAGAACACGCCCCACTATGAAAACTCACTTTGAATTAGTGTCTTCCCTTCATTATCTCATATACGTCATCACAATTGAAATGTACATGCATATCATATCTAGCTAGACTAGATTGTTTTTATTCAACTTCTTGTACCATAGGTACCTAACATATGTCAAACATTTAAACTCTACCAACTCTGATCTCATTATTAGATAACATTTATATCCAATATTGCACAACTCTGATAAACACATAACAGAAGTCAAATATTGTTATGTCCATGCCAGTCAGATAACATTTATACACTTTAAATTATATCCAATAATGACATTACCTCTCAATTCTGAATGTACTTCATCATATCAAATTTGATGTCCTCTAGCATGGGTATGAGTGACTTGTGTCTACACATGAGTTCTAAAGTATGCCTTACACCACAATGGGAAAGGATATTTGCTCAAGTTAGTTGGAACCTCGCTATCTACCTTCTCTAACTTTCTTAGTGGAGCTTGCAATTGAAACTCAGTTGCAAATTTTGTGTACTTCCAAAACGACCTCCTTAGAACCATACCCCCACTAGTAAAAAACTGTCTTATAGTGACACTTCATTAGTGACACTTTCTGCTAAAATGTCACTATTAGACGACATTTAGTATTTACAACAAATAAGTGTCATACGTATATGACACAAAAAAATCAACAAATAATAGTGACACTAAATAAAAAAAAAAAATTGAATTTTAACCTTAACAAATATTCACTTTTTGTTTCCCTCCCAAAATATACTTCCCGCCCTCTATTTTTAGCAACCCCACGCAACAAATTCTTTCCTTAGCCATACTCCACTTAATTTTTTTGCAGTACTCCGTATAACTTAATTAACCCTAGCCATACTCCACTTTCTTTTCTTTCCTTAGTCAAAATAATCCCACGAACTGTCCCTAGATCTATCATTTTTCAAAGAAACCCATTAGAGCTTAAAACCCTAGCTAGATACACTGATGGCTCTCGATCGTCACCATCGCCACAACTGAAGGTTGCGAAGAACATCACTGTCACCGACGGCTCTCGATCGTCAACTAGCTTGGGAAGAACATCATCGGTACGGTCAATCTCCATCTCCTGCGAAATACACCACAGCTCTCGATCGTGTATTCCATTTGCGCTAACCACCTTCGACAAATACCGTTTTCTCTCGATTGTGTGCGAGGAACGTCAAGCCTAGCCACCTGCAAAGCTAGAACACGACAGATTCTCATCCTCTAACCAAGAATGCAGCCTGCAGGTTCGTATTACAATTAAACTCCATCTAATTTAATGAAATTTGTGGTTCATGGTGCAAAACATCAATTTAATGTGACAAGTTTAGTAAATAAATCAGCATCTTGATTGTTCTCTTCCGATTTATCTCCTTATGTGCTTGATTTCAGCATGTTGATTGCTTTTACTCATTAATTTGGTAAGAAATAAGACAATCACGCCTCTCCCTTTTCTGCTAGGTTTATCTTGTAAACTGCAGCTGTCTTTGGAGTCATCGTTTGGCCCTTTTGAGTAGTTTCTGTATGAGGTTATTACTCTGCAAATTAAAAGTGTGTATAAGAGAGAGACAATTTGAATGTTAAGGGGTTTTAGTCAATTTGAAGAGAGGGTCGACCCTTACGTTGCTTGCTCTAGTTTGCATTGATATGGGCGTGCACAATTTCTACGCTCAACTTCACTAAAGACTTATTCAACTACATTTGATAAGCCTTGTATTTTAATACACACAAAAAATCAATCCAAGCCTCCAACAATATATTGTACGTTAATTAGGGGCTCTAACAATATATTACAAGTCAATTAGGCCCTCTAACAATATTTTAGATATCAATTAAACCCATAAAATTTAAACTACACACAAAACTAGAAACATACCTTCTGCTGATCTGAAATAATAGTCCACAAATCAGACCTAATTATCTCAAAACTCACTTGATTAGCTCTAAAAACCACAATCATGAAGAGTTGTTCTCTATTTCAACGATATCCCAAGCATCGGGAACATCTGGTTATTCACATCCCTCTCCATAGTAGTTGAGATCTCACCCTTCAATTAACCTTTCAAAAAAATAGCCATCTAGCTCAATAACCCTTCTACACCCTTCAACAAAGCTATTTTAACTTTTCAGTTAACCTTTCAGGCATGACTCTTATTGTTTTTATGACCATAGTGTTATTACAGATGGAGTTCATGCACTCTTCAGCATTATTCCTCAACTTCTTGAAATGGCATTAAAAAGAAGGTTGGGTTTTCTCATGTGTGGCTCTCAAAGCCCTTGTAGCCATATCTGTAGAAACATTTAATTTCAACTTTGTTTCGATGAGGTTCTTGAGGTCAATAGCACCAATTCAAGGGGATTTAGAAATCTTTTCCTCAAACCTATTAGTTATCTAGTTCTTACTAACCACTCAGAGTTTAAATTCTAAATTAGATCTTTGTAGGGAGTGCCAAAACTGAACTTGGAAGAACTTTAATCTGCTCTCTCAACTGGTAGTGCAAGAGTACAGGCAAGGTTGGTTACATTTCACTCTAAGCCTCTCCGACTCAGTTTTATATTAAAAAACACATCTTTTTCAGAAACATGATAAGAAATGATAGCATTACTAAACAGTTGAGTATCTTCAAACAACACTCTTACCTATATTCTAAGTCATACTTTGGTTTATAATAGGAAACCTCGCCTTTTTTGTTCTTTTCTGAAGGTCATGTGGTTCATCCTCAAATGTGTATGGATTTGGTTGTCTGAATCGTACTCCACACTAGTTATCAGCACTATCAGGTTGGGTGTTGTGATTAACTTCACTGCCTGCAACAGTTACATTTACAACTTCTTCATTAGCCTCAATCATGTGTTCTTCGTCAATCTGCACATAAAAAGAGTCTCACATGTTTCCCCTTGTTTGCCATCCCTTTCATCACCATTTTAGTTTCTATCTTCACCTTGTTCATTATTCTCACTTTGATCAAAAGAGTTTGATGGTCCCGGATAGAGGTAAAAGTCTAGAGGGGGGGGGGGTGAATAGACTTTTAAAGCTTTTTTTTCAACTTTAAAACGTGTATCCCTCTAAAGAGTTGATCTATAATCTTTTGGGAGATTTATAAATGCACAGCGGAAGTCTTTAACCTCTTAGATAAATAGTGTATAACACTTTCTTTGATGGATGAAGTTTGGGCTTTATCAGGTGAGAAATTGGCTTGACAGTTGGCTAGAAAACAGGGAACTGCTGAGGTAACTGCTAGCGAAATACTCAGTGTATGATGACAGTGCACTCAGAATCTCTCTCAGAGTGGGAAGAGCTTTTCTGATGATATAACAGGGTAGATCGATAATCAACCTTAATGAGAGCAGTGGTCTCAGCAGTTGGGTGGTAACCAAAGGACTGTTGAGGCACCTGCTTAAGTAAAAGTGAAGGTATGGAAAGATTGATTATATGGTGTTGCTCAGGATGATGTGGGCTTTCTGAAGATGTGCATTAGTTCAAGTAAGTGGGAGTTTTACTTGGAGCAGTGGTCTCGGCAGTTGGGTGATAGTGAGGGAACTGATGAGGCACCTGTTGGGTTACCACTTTGAATTACAAGGATCAGTTTGAACAGACTTCTTGGAAATAGAGTTGTGAAGGTCTGGTGAAGTTGAGAAGTTCAAAGGAAACACTTTTGTGTGAGCAGTGGGCTCAGCAGTTGGGTAATCACCAGGGGACTGCTGAGGCAACTGATATGCCTTAAGTAAAATTTCCTGAAATCTAATGAAACAGACCTTATAGTTGTGATATTGTAACGCTTTTGTATCTCAAAGACAGTGAGTGATTAAGCAGTAGGATAAGCAGTAGGGTCAGTTATGTCATGCCCCGGACCTAGCCGGACACGTCAACAACCCGCCGTACAGTACGAATAGTCAACCGCGGTCCAACTCATCCATACTATACAAGGCGTCATGA